TAATCTACCTCGAACAATGGAACTGGAAGAAACCCAGTTTGTAAAGACAAATGGTCATCGAGGGATACGTCTTTCAATCCATGAGACGAGGGTACTCTAGTTATATACCTAGAACCCCGACAGGACCCCTAGGAAAAACGAAACAAAATGAAACAAACACTATTTGGGGTCGGCGTTTGCTGGTCCACAAGAAGGTCACTCAGGTTCTAGTTAGATCTCGAGCTCGATCTCATGCTGCCACGCTCACGTGCCTTCAGAAGCTCAGAAAAACCAACGAACGCACCCTCCGTCTTCGTCTTCCGCTGAAACGTCGGTCAAATCGCCTTCGCTGGAGGTCTTCTGGTTCAACCTCTCCATCCTCCAAATGAATGGCCTGCGGGGCCTCAGAATCTTGAACTGCAAGACATGTATATGAGTTAGCGTCAAAAATATATGCTTGGAGTGTTTTCGTTTCACTTTTGTCAGTCCCCTATCGTTTTCCATGGTTTTGGATTTTGCAAGTATGTATACATAGGGGTATCGTTTTTTGTCAGTCCCCTATCGTTTTTCAAGGAAAATCACGAAAGCAACGCAGAGATGAAACGTCCCTTACTAAAGTGGTTGATGATAATTTTGAGGTTGCCTCATATGTTTCTTGAGTCTTCTCTTCACCTCCTTAGAAGCTTCTTCCTTTCAAGACATTGGGTCTCAATGAATGACCGCATAAAACTCCATCGCCACACTTTCCTAGAATCCATGCACTGAAATGGAAGTGGATGGCATGGCCCATGAAGGGAAGACACGGGAAAAACCATTGTCCGAATGTGCCATCGACGGGGTTGCTAACGACTTCCATCGTTATAGTCCCAGGGAGAGTATGTTTCGTGCTATATAAATTTGTTTCAATGAATGACATGTTCGTAAGTGGAGAAGTCTGCACCACCGGGAATTGGGGAAGGGTCCTGAAATCATGGCCAAAGACTCATGGCAACTTTGATCAGAAAACCTGGGTTATCTCTATCTCCCTCTGGAAAATCACATCTAAACATGACACCTTAGTATTAGAATAACAATTTTAAAACAAATGTGCACACTCTGCGTAGAGAACTGGGATTCTATTTGATGAACTTGCTTGAGTTTGTTCAGCATGCCATGCTGCAAGGTGTTGAAGGTGGTGCAGAATCCCTGCGACAAACAGGATTCTGCATGTTATCCACATATCTAGAACCACCTCAGGCCACCTTAGGGTGGTCACCAGGGCTCTTTAACAAGGACTTGAGATCTAGATCGAGCGCCACCCAACGGTGTTCTCACCGAGCCAGCGGTGTTCCTATCGCCGTCGTTTTTCTCTCACGCCTCTATCGTTGAGTTGTGGTCTGTCTGGCCAACCTCTTAAAAAGTACAGCAAATCTCAGTTATACCAATTTCAATAGCAAAACACGACCACTTGGGTGGTTGGTGCTCAAAAGTGGTGCCTCTGCTTCTACAACTGATGGTTTGTTGAGAACTGGCTTTGCTGTGGTCAAGGCCAGAGCTACGCAGGCTCATCCGCAGGGAATCCGGTGTGGTTCCCACGCCATGATTTCTTTCTCTCATGGGCCACGGCCCCGGGCATACTACACCTGCACGTTCAAAAACATGCGGAGATCTTTGACCCCGAGGAAGCTCTTGCACAGGTCGTACAGAAAGAACTGACCACCTCAGTGAAGATAGCACGTCGACTTACTGCTTGAGTCACTCGGTGAAGCAAATCAAAGACCAAATGGAATCAATGGGACACACACACACACACATTGTCCTGCACTCATGACTATATATACACGCTATCCAAACTATATAGATACGGACTTATCCTATCAAAATCGGGTCATGTCTTGCTTCTAGGCATGAACAACCTAATGGAGCTTCTCCCCGGTAGCGACGACTCCGAGGCTCCGACTCCGAGGCTCCGGCTCCGCGGGGCGCGCGTCCCCGGTCCGCCGAGGCACTGATGATGCAGGCGGCCCAAACGGAGCGGCTGCCGAGCCCCGCGAAGAAGCCACCGAGGCCCCGCTCGGCCCAGATCTCGCGGCCCGTGTCGAAGAAGAAGGCACGGCCTTCACTCCTTAGACCAACAGAGGTAGCCAGTGACCTGAACTAGGACCCGTGGTGCCCGACTAGGATGGTCTATAGGGTTCTTCAACCTCTGCTGGAAGAGCAGAAGTGGTTGGTGAGTGGCTGGAAAGAAATGGCCCAAGGACCGTGCAGGTGGCATGTTTAGTGGCATGTTGGCAGGGCTGCAGGGGCTAAGAAAGGGGTGGGAGTTGGGAAAAATGGCTGATGATTTCAAGGGCGCATGCACATGAAACAGATCTTTAAAATGAATCAAAGTCCAAAGAAGAAGCATGCTTGATGCCTGGAATGTGATACAACCACCGGTAACCACCGGATCTTCAACCTGATCAGAATCAGAGTCATTTTGCTTCACCATGCTTCACCCAAGTGAACTGGTGCAACAATAACTCTGAATTACGGGGGGGGAACAGCAAGGAGCAAACGAACATTCTTATCCCTGGCAGATGGGCCTTTTCTGGCAGATTCAAAAAGTTATTCAATCCAAAGCCACATCCTCAACAGCTTGCAGCTTGTGAAATCCACCTGTGAATCCGTTCCCTGACTATGCCCATGAGCTTCCATGAGTGGAAAACCCCGTCGCTCAGTGACAGCTCAATTCCTTTGGTGCCCGGGGCCGGTTGGTTTGTTCCAGGTGTCTGATTCATTCGCGTCAGAATGGTATCAGCCGGCTGGGAGACGATCGAAGATGCGATGCCTGCCACAGCTCCAGACAAAAGAGACACCAAGAGCTGCGTCTCCACCTGCAAATCTGGATTCTGACGGTGCAAGCAAGCCGAACAAGCCGAGGTGTCCACCTGGTTTTGAGTGGGGTGTCCGGATGTTCGCCCAAACAGGTTTTGCAGGCAATCCACCTTCCCTGGATGGGTTTGAAGAAGGCACCCTGTATATGAGCCTAGAGCGTCACCAGCTTGCCTGCAGTCTGAATTTTCCTTACCCACTTCCTTACCCAAACGCTCCCAACAGTCCTTAAGCTTGGTCCCTCAAAACCTAGGGGTTTGAGACCGGGCCTGACCCTCCATATGAGGGTCCAGGGTCGCGTTTGGGTTGGTCCACTTGTCCTGGGCCTGGTGATGGATCAAGGGGATGGTTCTTGAGAACGGATCTGCAAGGTACTCCGAACACATACACCCAGGGACGCAGGGGGAGCTCAGCATTGAGAGCATTGAACCTATTGAACATGGAACCCACATGGTTCCGTGGCACCTCCTGTTTCATCCTTGCAGGGTGCTATCTACTTCCGAAGATAAAAAAATCAGGGGAGTGCAAGTGCTTGAGGAACTCCATGCCGCTTCGGCCTTAAAAGAGGGGAAGAGATGGCACCGTAGCAGTTCCCTTCTAACCACTAGCACCCCGTAAGAATCCGACCGGGCCCTCCATGGCAGGGGTCGGACCCGAAGGAAAAACGCGAGCGGTGTTGCTGGCTGTTAAGGGGCCCGGATTCTGAGGGAAGACCGTGACCAAATACACAAAAAAAGGACCGGATAACCGCACATATGAGACATAGAAAAGAAGAACCCCACACTAAGATGTGGGGAAAAATAACAGATCGTATCATCTGACTCGATCCATTTTGATTCATCCCTCGATTCGCCGCCTTTTCCGCCAGCACCGGCTGCAAATCGAAGACGAAGTCTGCGAAGTAGTCGAAGACCAGAAATTTCATCATGCCAAAGAGCACCTGACGTACCAGCAATGTACTGAGCCCATCGTAGAAGACCCCGGGGCCATCTTGCTCGCTGATGACCTGGATCACCTGCGTGAACCGGACGCAAAGACGTCGAAAGCGATTTCAGCCGAGCAATTTTCAGCACCCAAGAGCGAAGCGAAACTGGAGGGTGACCAGTGGGGATTCCAACATCATCATCTAGTCGGTTGGAGCAAAGCCTAAGGATCCACACCAAAAACACCATACCGACCTGCTTCGGTAGTATAGTTATACAAAAAAAAAGGAAACAACCCCTGCCTGTTCGAGTTTGATGGCAAAAATTGTCCCACCACACCTCCTGCTTGCTTTGAGCTTGATCGCACTTCAAGCCTTCCCACCGTTCCTGTCGGACCGTCCAAACGCCCCTCCCGTCGGTCTGTCTGGCCGCGAGCCCGCGACCGGCGCGACCGCCTCGCCTTGAGTAGGCCCAAGGAATTGAGCTCCGGATCTGCCACCATGCGGATCCGACAGGCCTCCGCAGGGCACACGCCAAAGCAAGCAAAGACCTCAGACCCAGAGGGAAGAAGAAGACGTGGAAAAACCCCTAGGGCTCAGAACCCCATATCCTCAGGTTCGGTGGGCACATACCCCCCTGGCACCCACCCTAACCACCGAACCTCAGGAGGTAGGCCAGGAGCGCTAGGGTAACTCTGAACAAGTCCCATGGATAGGCTTGGGGATGGGGGAATGGATGCGGGGTGCACTAAGGCTGTAGGGTGAGGCCACCAAGTGGGAGGACAATAGTCATGGTGGAAATCCTGATGCCCCACCCAAAGTGAGCAACTCCCCAGAAGCGACCCGTTCGGCCCCGAATCCTCGGGTCTGGGGTCGGACAGGGTCTCAAATCCCCATTGGTTTTGAGGGACCAGTCGGGCTGTGTTTGGAGCGTCTGGGTCATAGAAAACAAAAGATTGCAACCCCATTTCCTTGGCCAAGTGCAGGCACAAGACATGCAAAGAGGGACGTCGTTCAAGAGATTTGTCCTACAACCGCTTGGAGGCCGCTTCTGGGTTCTTCCTAATTGGACAGCAGCATGTAATGTATCAGCTCATAGGTGCAAACGATCTTCCTCCAACGTGCCGATTCCGGCGATTCGGGTGCCGATCCTGCCGTGCAGGTTGCTGTGGCCACAGCTCCGCTGAGCAAGACCAGCAACACTCGAAGCTCCTCCTGGGGGAAGAGCGACAAGAACCTGGGAAGAGCGGGCCTGAATTAGAGCGTTCAAAGTGGATGGGATGGCGATTGAAGCATGAATGTGTTCTTTTTCCTTGTTCGGTGGCTGACTGCCACTGGTTTCTGCTTTTGTTGGTGATTCTATTTGGTTGTCGGGTTTCGTTGGTTTTGTCGGGCAAGGGATCAAAAAAAATAAAAATGCATCAAAAAACAAATATAATTCAGGGTATCAAGAAAAAACAAAAATGAATCAATAAAAAAATAAACGGACCCAAACGAGTGGAGGGAAGCGCAATAGTCCAACTCGAAGCAGTGATCAAAAGAAAACAAAAACGCATCAAAAAAACAAAAACTAAATCAACCTACACGGATACCTTGGATGGTCCTGTAGGGCCCTTGGGTAGAGACCAACCTATCCACCACAACGGTCGGCCTCTGCCCTCTGTGTTCGGTTCGAAATTGCCAAGAATTCAAAAGATAAGGTGTTTCAGGTTTTGGAGATTCAAGAGGTCACGGTTGAGAAGCAGGACGCCTACATCTACAAAGATCCAAAGTCCTCGACATCCAGACAGATCTAGTGTAAAGGTGTAGAGTCTAGAGACCCACAAAATCTTGCAGAGGTTCAGATCCAGCTCTCCCAAAATTTTACTGGCGTGCTAGAATGGAATGGCTTTCTGCCCTCTAACCTTTACTACTGTACATTCGGGTGGCTTACAGAAGGGCGGCGCCGCAGCCGCGCACACGGATTCAACTCAACTGCGCACACACATTTTATCGGCACTTGTGCCTCATCTGCGCACACACTTGTTAACTCAGCGTGCGCACACCCCACCATGGGGAGTCAAGTGCGCACACAGGCCCTTTCCCGAATGTTGCTGCGTATTCCAAATCTTACCCTGCGTTGCTCACTTAAAAGGGTAGTCAACTTGGAATAGCCACTTCCTTGTCTATTTTTGTTACTCTCCAGTGGCTCACCAAGGGGTGAGTCAACTTGGAATGAGCACTTCCTTCTCTAAATTTTACCCCTGCATTGCCCACAAAGGGTGAGTCAAGTTGAAGTGGCAACATCCTTCTCTAAATTTTACCCTCGGGTGGCTCACCAAAGGGTGAGTCAACTTGGAAGGGCAACGTCCTTCTCTAAATTTTTCTCCCTGCATGGCCCACAAAAGGGTGAGTCAAGTTGAAATGGCAACATTCTTCTCTAAATTTTACCCCTGCATGGCCCACAAAAGGGTGAGTCAACTTGGCATGGCCAGTTCCCTCTCTAAATTTTACCCTCCAGTGGCTCACCAAAGGGTGAGTCAACTTGGAATGACCTCTTCCTTTTCTAAATTTTACCCTGCCCACAAAAGGGTGAGTCAAGTTGAAATGGCAACTTCTTTTCTAAATTCTACCCTCGGGTGGCTCACCAAAGGGTGAGTCAACTTGGAATGACCACTTCCTTCTCTAAATTTTACCCCTGCATGGCCACAAAAGGGTGAGTCAAGTTGAAATGGCAACATCCTTCTCTAATTTTTAGCCTCGGGTGGCCCACTAAAGGGTGAGTCAACTTGGAAGGGCCACATCCTTCTCTAAATTTTTCCCCTGCATGGCCCACAAAAAGTTGAAATGGCAACATCCTTCTCTAATTTTTAACCTCGGGTGGCTCACAAAAGGGTGAGTCAAGTTGAAATGGCAACATCCTTCTCTAAATTTTACCCCTGCAAGGCCCACAAAAGGGTGAGTCAACTCGGCATGGCCGCTTCCCTCTCTAAATTTTACCCCTGCATTGGCCACAAAAGGGTGAGTCAAGTTGGAGTGACCACTTCCTTTTCAAAATTTTACCCTGTGCACAAAAGGGTGAGTCAAGTTGAAATGGCAACATCCTTCTCCAAATTTTAGCCTCGGGTGGCGCAACAAAGGGTGAGTCAACTTGCAGCTTTCCTGGCCACTGCAGGCAGCACAGGTCCGTAAGCTGGCCACCTGCAGCAGCACAGTGCTCACAACACTCTGGCCACCTCCAGCAGCACAGCGCTGACGACACTGGCCACTGCAGGCAGCACAGCTCCGTAAGCTGGACATCCAAAGGCCTCGACATCCAGACAGATCTGGAGTGTAGAGGTGTAGAGTCTAGAGACCCACAAAATCTTGCAGAGGTTCAGATCCAGAGACCAGGGGAACAGAGGACCAAAGGACCAGGGGCCTTGCGGTCGCCTCACCTCTTCAAAATTTTACTGGCGTGCTAGAATGGAATGGCTTTCTGCGCTCTAAACTTTACTACTGTACATTCGGGTGGCTCACAGAAGGGCGGCGCCGCATATTTTATCAGCACTTGTGCCTCATCTGCGCACACACTTGTTGACTCAGCGTGCACACACCCCATCGGGGGGAATCAAGTGCGCACACAGGCCCTTTCCCGAATGAATGTTGCTGCGTATTCCAAATTTCACCCCTGCATTGCTCACTTAAAAGGGTAGTCAACTTGGAGTGGCCACTTCCTTCTCTATTTTTTCCCTCCAGTGGCTCACCAAGGGGTGAGTCAACTTGGAATGAGCACTTCCTTCTCTAAAATTTACCCCTGCGTTGCCCAAAAAAGGGTGAGTCAAGTTGAAATGGCAACATCCTTCTCTAAACTTTACCCTCGGGTGGCTCACCAAAGGGTGAGTCAACTTGGAAGGGCAACATTCTTCTCTAAATTGATCCCCCTGCATGGCCCACAAAAGGGTGAGTCAAGTTGAAATGGCAACATCTTTCTCTAAATTTTACCCCTGCATGGCCCACAAAAGGGTGAGTCAACTTGGCATGGTCACTTCCCTCTCTAAATTTTACCCTCCAGTGGCTCAACAAAGGGCGAGTCAACTTGGAATGACCACTTCCTTTTCTAAACTTTACCCTGCCCACAAAAGGGTGAGTCAAGTTGAAATGGCAACATCCTTCTCTCAATTTTACCCCTGCGTGGCCCACAAAAGGGTGGGTCAACTCGGCATGGCCGCTTCCCTCTCTAAATTTTACCCCTGCATTGGCCACAAAAGGATGAGTCAAGTTGGAGTGACCACTTCCTTCTCATAATTTTACCCTGTGCGCCAAAGGGTGAGTCAAGTTGAAATGGCAACATTCTTCTCCAAATTTTACCCTCGGGTGGCGCAACAAAGGGTGAGTCAACTTGCAGCTTTCCTGGCCACTGCAGGCAGCACAGGTCCGTAAGCTGGCTCGCTGAGTAGCTGGCCAAATGGGGGATAGAACAGGAGTTCAAAAGTGGTCCTTGTTGTTGTGTGTGTTTTTCGGGAGATGCATCAAAAAATGCATTAACATAGAATACATAGATGCATCAAAAAATGCATTAACATAGAATACATGACAACACTTGCCATTGCAGGCAGCACAGCTCCGCAAGCGGGCCACCTACAAAAGCCATCGAAAACCAAAGGCAAAAGCCACCAAAACCCAAGAGCCACCGAAAGCGAACCTTCCTTCCTGCCCTGCTGCCTTTCTTCCTTCCATCCATCCTTCCTTGCTTCCTTGCTTCCTTCCTTCCTTCCTTCCTTCCGTCCTGGCTTCGTACCTTCCTTCCTTCCTTCCTTCCTTCCTTGCCTTCTTGCCTTTCTTTGTTTCTTTTCTTTATTTTTTTATTGATGCATTTTTATTTTTTTCTTGATGCATTTATATTTTTTTATTGATGCATTTATATTTCTTTTTTGATGCGTCTCCCGGTTTTGTCGCTTCGGAGTTTTTGATCTTAGTGTAATTAATTGGCTGGGTTGACGTTGGTTGGGTTGAGTTGACATTGGTTGCTTGGTTGCTTGGTTGGATGGCTGGTTGGCTGGCTGGGTGGGTGGTTGGCTGGTTGGCTGGCTGGCTGGTCGGCTGGTTGGCTGGTTGGCTGGCTGGCTGGCTGGTTGGCTGGCTGGCTGGTTGGCTGGTTGGTTGGTTGGTTGCATGCTGGTGGGTAGCCAAGTCTTCCATGAGATGATTCCTTCAAGTCGAATCTGGGAAGAGTGGATGCATGTTCTAGTGCCCTCCTGCGGGTCCGAGATTTTCTACATGTTGGATTGAAGTCTGAATCAAAGAACAGGTTTACGGTGAGCAATCACACACGATAGCACCACATGATGTTCCTGTTTGGGTTCATACACGGCCTGAACCGCTGAATTACATAGATGTTAAAGACACATGTGCGATCATTCATGTATATTCAACCATAACTCCCTAGGGCAGGGAGTTCAAGGATGGATTTCAGCAGGGGGTCCGGGGTTGGGAGGCGCTTCGACTGACCGCCCGAGGCGACCCCAAACAAACCGAGGCGACGGTTTCTGCATTGGCCCAAGCAGCAAACGCTTGAAGAACTCGTAGCCAGGATAGACTGTGATGCCATACCAAAGGTATCCTGAAGGACCAAGCCGTCGTTTGGGTTCCAAACAATCATCAATCAGGGTGGGTTTGGTAGAGATGTCCTATAGCCGGAAAGCTGAAGGATTGAACATCACTCCCATCCTAAGTTAACAGAATGACAGTAACGTGACAAGAAATGGTTTCTTAATTTGCCTTGCATTGCGGCAAAAAAAGGCAACCCGCTACCCCGATACTCTTGGGCAGTTTCAGTCTATGAATCTCCAACGTTCCGAACGGCACAAACCAATCTCAGCACTGGCAGTGCTATGGCTTAAAACAACATCTGATTCTGGACACAGGACCCTCCGTACCTTATAGAAGAATTGGGCATCCTATAGTATAGGAAAAACAGCAAGTCGTACCATACCATATCCATGTTCTGCGGGACGAACTGCTTCACTTAGGATCCCCAATCGCCCTGAAAAAGGTCTACGCATCTACGCGCACTTTAAGCGGGGGGAAAACGGCGGAGATCGCACGGCGGAGATTGTTCGTTCGAGGTGCCTAAGATGGTGGGCTCCCAACCAGCCAGAAGACCTCCAAGGCCCTCTTCTTGATAGATCTCTTGCATTCCAGAGAGCAAATTCGCATTCTTAAAGCGACCTGGCCGAAAAGTTAGAACATGTTAGACCTGAACACGCTGTTACACGGGCGAACCTCGTGTGTTTGTGTGTGGAGGTCCTGGTTGGTGGTTTCACTTGAAAGCATATTAATCAGTGGGTTCATCCCAAGTAGAGCTTCATAAACATATCCGAAACCACCACCTAGGACCTAGCCTACTTGAAGGATGAACATCTCAATGGCCAACAATAAAACAAAACATCTCAAGTTGTGTGCATTTCCACTCAAGGATCTTCGATTCCAACCGGACTGGTGGTTGCCTTCTCCCTCCAGTCCCAGTCCCAACAGTTGCGCTGAAAAGAAACCCACAACCGCTCCACCAAAACGAGAAAAACAAAAACACAAGGCCCTGGTTCTTCAAAGTGATCGTACTTAATAACATGGTTGGTTCGGTCGCTTAAGCCTCCGAGTAGGGTCACCTAAGCTGGAACCTTCAAGAAGCAGGTCACGAAGGTTAAGAAGCGAAGACCACGAATTCCGGCTCATCCGATGTTCTGGGAGTTGGACTATCTATACCGTCGCCCGAAGGATGAAGGCCATGCTCAGCATGTCGCATGTGTCCTGAAGTTTCTTCGTGCGAGGCGAGGCCTACTTTCGGAAGACCGGTACGAGCTGCCTGGGCTCGTCTGCAGTCGGGTCTTCACCACATCCAATGGGATCACCAAGGAGTGGGTCAAAGAGCAGCCGAAGGCGCCCGAAAGCGCCTGCGGGCGATGTCGCGCGCTTTCAACGGACGGACGGAAGGGGGTAGGACGGCAGCAGTGGTGGAGTAGAGTGGAGTAGCTTAGTAATCCCTGGGAGTCAAAGACCATAAACAGAATGGTCTGACTTTAGGTGACCCGAGTTCAGGAATTTCCTTTACTTCCAGCCGGTCAAAATATAGTCGAACTGGACTTCTATAGGGTAATAGATGGTAATAGTAGCTTTGTTTAAAGGAAAAAACGCAAACGTATAATATATGATGACTGGCATGTCAATGCATGTCATAATATCCGCAATCACTTCCACCATAGACATATCATAGATCGTAGGTTCGGGATGTTTGATTGTGTAGGACACATAGGTGCTCACAACCTTTCAGCAAAGGTTTCACACAGACTGGAACTACCAAACAATCGTTCACACATGGGGCATGGCGTTATACCAAGTTTCAATACCGAGCTCCAAACGTCGATGCGCGGACGCCAACAAACAATTGATTTTGCTGGTGCACTCATATCAGTCTCATTTGGCACCAGGACCAACCCAAACACATCTTGTGTGCCATCTTGCAGGGAGGCACTTGGTAGTGGATGATGCTTGAGCGGTGACATCAACATGAGCCTCGAACCACTGGCTTGCCAACCGACTTGTCCTACCAAACACCACGGCCAAGTAACAAAAAGCGCATAGTCTTGCCTCGGCACAGGCAAAACACATCTCTGAACAGGAAACAACACCTTTCGCACCTTTGGGTTCTCAACAAACAGTCTGATTCTCAACCCCAGTCTTGCCCGCGTCTGGTGCGAGGAACTCCCTCAAGCTGCTGAAAAACGACAGCACCGGCTTGCAGTCTCCTTTCACAGTGTCCGATACCACCCCACCTTGTCAAACCAACACCACCAAGTAAGGACCTCTTCATGCTCCAACATGCACGGGGCCTCTGTCGAAGGAACAACTATACGTACTATATAGTGGGCACTGGCATTTTGGCAGGGTTCCCTGTGGCAAGCTTCAAGCGAACTCCAAACCCTGGTGTAGGTAGTAATGTAAAATGAGTATTGACGCCCTTAATTGTAATAATCAATACTCATGTCTTCCAGAAAATCCAAATCAAATGTGATTTAATATTCGTCCAAGATGATCCACAAAATTAGCCCATATTATAGTACTGTATTCAGTTGATCCATAGTCCATTTTGCATTTAGAGCAAAATGACAGCAACATGAAAGCGAAAGCAAGCTAAAGCAGAATGAAAGCAAACAAAAGCAACATGAAAGCAAATCAATTCCAAAGGATCTGCAACCAAATACGGATCTCACATTAGTCTATTCTGTTCATGTTTCCCCAGTTTTGACCCAAAGCTATTTGGTGCCATTGTTCTACATCTGCTACTGGGTATCCCACAGATTAATCGTGCTCAAGCATGCTGCATGTTTGCACCGTTCACCGGGGCTGGCCACAAGGGTCCTGAACCTGAACAAGTGGGAAGGGGCTGGTTCCGGCCAGGTGACCCTGTTTCAGAAAGGTGCTGGAAAGAAAAGTGAAGCCTGAAAGTTCTCAAAGTCCTATATATGCACTTGTTATATGCTGCCTTCGCGACTCGCCTTCGCGAACCTTTTTAGCATGGAACACAAAGTGATTAAACAGGCCAAAACTTGCCTACGCAAATTGCCTTCGCGAAAAACAAAGTGGAGCATACGCAATTTGGCTTCGCGTGCCTTCGCGCGTGCACAAAACTGTGAGAATTGGCTTAGCGGGCTACAATGCAGTTCCACTTTTATATACCTTTGCATGCCAATAAAAAAACGTTGTTCACTGCGGTTTTCACATGAGAATGCTCTTCACGCAGCCTTCTGCCTGTCCATTGGTCTAGAGAGGTCACTGGAGATTTTGTTCCTTCAAGCTACCTCTTGCATTCAATACTCCATAAGCTTGCGACTGCCCTGGTTCCAAGTTCTTGGCCTGTTCTGAGACTCTGCTGGCCTGAACGCCCATCTGCTCCCGGGAGCACATCGGACCGACACACAACAGTCCAACCAAGAAAACGGTCTGAAACCGAAGCAAGGACGCTACGAACGGGGCTCCTGGCCTTCGAATACTTAGAACATTAGCATCTAAAACCTTCCATGTGTAGCAAGAGAGGTTGAGAGACCAAACTAGGACCCTGTAGAGGACGGGCTAGAAGATCTATAAGTCTACAAGGCTGTTCAACCTCTCTTGGTCTCTTCCCCTCGGTTCCGCCTCTACCCTAAAAGTCCAGTCGACTCAAATTCATGATCTACATTTAAGGTGACCCGATGTCATCCATCTTCTTTACTTTTCTAGTCGGTGGAATCCGTGCAATCCATGTATACCCTAGGGCTCCAACTCCTGAGGTTCAGTTCTCAGGGTGGGCGCCAGGCGGGTTTAACCCCCAAACCTGAGGATATATGGAGCGTTCGAAACCCGAACGGGGGCCACAAAACAGCTCCGCGGGCTCCGCTCTCCGCTCCTCCGCTGACCCAAACTGGAAGGTTCGTCCCGGTGGCGGATTGAGCTGACGCTCCTTGGTGACGACCTCTGCGCCGCGCACACCGAAGACGCTGACGGCCGCACCTTGGTCCATCTCGTCGAAGGCGCCTGGGTGCTCATGCTGCGGCTCCGCAACCCGGATCCGATCCCCAAATAGATAGAAAAGTAGATCCCCACTAAAAATGTATTGAAAACCGTTATCTATGTGGGGATCATTATTTAAAAAACACTCATGAAGCTTATCTTGGATATGGGAACTTTCGGGGCTTGACCCATGAAATCAAGGGATTGACCTCTGGGAGGATGAGAACAAAACAGCATTAAAAAAACAACATCGCTTGAGTAAGGCCAATGCCATGGCACTCTTGTAAGGTTGGGCCTTCTGGAAGCCAGGGATCACCCACCTCAGAGATTCCAGGACGGGCCATTTTCAGCAAGGGATGGATGGTGCTGGGTACTGATAGTGCCTGGGGCTCCCAGAGTGGCAGGCGAGTCCAGCTGATATTTTTGTCCGGAGGCGACTGGGGGGGGGGCGTGGGAGGCTTGGTCATAAGATGGATTTGTGATGGGTCCGAGGGCAGGGTTGATGGTGGGTCACCGATGGTCACCGGTAGGGATGTATAAGGCGCCAATAGGAGTTGAGGCGGGCCAGAAACACACAATCAATAGAGTTTGCGTCTGATGGAGAGGGTATTGGAGAACCAATGGTCTTCTACATATGTCTACATGCAACTACAGGCATGTCGGCATTTCTGTCAACTTAGTCTTAGTAATTGTTTGGGTCATTGGGATCTTTCAAGCCTGTAGCCCTAACTCATACGGGCAGTCTGTGATTATTCTTTTTCACCAGCTGTGCCCGCCTGAGTTGCAAGAAATTTACTTCAGGTTCTTGGACGACTGCTCCTACAGACCTATATATATATGACACAGAGAAGCCATACAAAGCATTCGTGTAGTGTACGGGTTCGGCTCACTTCGGCTGGTGCAACACCAATGGACCAAAAAACATCAAGACTGCAATAACACAAGAACCTTATAATAGCATCTTATAGCCTTATAGCGCTCCTTTAAAACTGGTCTTTGAATGTCTTTGACCTTACTTCTTCGGTCTCCAACAAATCTTCCCTGCACCAGCCTCCTGTCGTCACATCTATCGCCTCCCCACGTTCCAGAAAACACGGCCACACCGCCGCTGTTTTCGTGGGTGTTCGACACGTCGCCCCCCCCCACGTCTCTCCCCAAGAGGCCGCTGCAAGCCGCCGTTCCAGACGGGGAATTGGGTATTGGGCAGCAAGCGCGTGGGGTCCATCGCCAGGTAGTCCGACAAAGCGGGACTAAAGACCGCCTTGTTGCACCGGGCCACGCGGTTTGGAGGGGGGAAGAGGACACGCGAAGAACACCGGGTTGTGATAGTCGGTCAAGGAATCCAAAGGGAGGCAGTGGAGGAGCCACCGGTTTTTTTGGGATGCTTTTCGCTGTTTGTAGGGTATTTTAGGGTCCATGTATATGTAGGTATATAAGCAGCCCGACAGGTCCCTTAAAACCTTAACAATTTGAGACCCGGAAGGGGTGCGAGCCGAATGAGGCTCTCTTTTTATCCGCCCTCAGATCCACCTCACGTGCGATGAAGCGGGAAGAAAGACGTCGTTGCATGGTTGGTGGAATTGCTTGGGCTTTGATCCACCCGACTCCGACTCTCGGCTCTCGGCCAGGGTCGGACCTTCTCCAACCACCGTTTCACGCCGGGGGGGAAAGTCCGGGCCCGGTTCCCAAACCCTACCAGGGGCCCTCAAAACCATGAAAAAAAAAGGCTTTCACATGCAAAAACCATGTTTTTTTTCCTAGGGAAAGGGAAAACCATGTTTTGATGGTTTGCGGGGCCCTTGGTATGTGTTGCTTAACGGGGTCCGGATTCTTAGGGAACACGGGTCCAACCTTCCTAGGTCGACGCGGTGCGTCGTGGTGCGCCTGCAGGCGGTTGTCCAGCTGCAAAGAGCTCAACAGGCTGGACAGCAACTCCAGGGGCTGATCCTGGTTCCACCGGTCGTTCCACCGGTCGAGCTGGCCGCATGGAGGGACTGGGGCGTCGAAAGCAGGGAATGAGGGTGGCTGGAATTCAATAGAATCTCTATTGGGGGCTCATTCTTCCCTTAGGAACCTACGAGTCGCACCAGTCAGTTTTTCAAAAGGCCTCACCCTGCTACAACCACCTCTCTGGGGCCTGCGTTGGGGGTTTCCCTGGGTTTATGGGACGACATGCCAGTCCCACATGTCGACAGGGTGGTCTGTCTAGGTCTCCCCGCATGTCACCGGGCCACCGGTCGATTGTAACCATGTTCTGATACCAGTACCCTTACTGGTCTTTAATTGAGACTTCTTGGGCCAAGGTCCCACTCATCGACCCTTAGAGTGGGGTCCTCTACAAGGTTCAACATTCAAACATCCCAAAAAACAGTCCCGCAAGCGAACTCCACCATGTCGAACTCCACAGTCGAACTCTCGAACTCTGCTCTCGAACTGTTGAAAGCCCTGCCTTGCACCCCCCCCACACATGCGTGCCACTGACTCCGAGCCGTTTCCCTTGAAAAAAACAGGTCTTAACAGGTTACAGTAGCCAATCCACAAACAAGGTCAAAAGATTATCCAGGTAGGTCCAAGAACGTTCTCCGACCGGGTGGGTGGGTCCTCCAGCAAGGTAAAGGCCAAGGCCAACTGCCGTCGGCCTTCCTGGGTTTCCCCATAGCGGTCTACGAGCTTCTTCAGGAGCCCCGACTTGCGCCGGCCTTCCTCTTGATATCTTCCTGAGCTCAAAAATCAGCTGTCATGGCTGGGCTTCCTGTCATGTACTGAAAAACCAGACTCATGACCCAGGGAAGGATGGTGCGAGGACACCAGGTGCGACCTTGGTTCCGGGTTTCGCTGGTCATGCAAGGTGTGGGACTTACTGGTGTCCTTCTGGAGGGTCAGTAAAACTTCAAAACCATGAAAAATAAAGGTTGTCACATACAAAACACATGTTTTTTGCTAGGGAACACCTGGTTTTTGATGGTTTATGGGGCCCCTGGTAGCAAGTCACTTCAGCAAGTTGAAGTCAACAGCAACAGAATCAACACGAATGGATCATTGGAGGGTCCAATGACCTGCTGTCTTTTGAGTTGACGCACTTGGGATGTTAACTGAAAGACTGTTGTATTCACCAGACAGTAAGTGCCCCTTTGTGCGTACATCCACGCTATGTTTGCCTGATGGCTAGCAAACCCCCAGGTTCATACATGTCGGGTCTCCTTCAAACAAGTTGAAATATCTTCACTAGCATACACACTGTTTGGGAATTGGTCGGGAATGTGTGAGAACATCCACAACTCACACCATCACCAACTGCCTCTCCATCCAAACACCACCTTTTCTCAGCCTGGAACTATACATATAGATGCAGCCATAACAACATAACAATCTATAGGGCCGATATTATCTGATATGCTGAACTAGGTCTTATATCTCATTGTCAACCAATCAATGCAGTATCGTCACTTCATCCGAAGCTGGCACGTCGACCACCACCATCATGGCCCTTCCGACGTCCGAAGCGACGTCGTTCCTCGTCCTGACGTCCTTGGTCTCGGCCCGGGCGTCTCAAACCAATCTCCACGCTGGCCGCGTAGTCCGCGAAGACGTCCCGCAGCTTGGCGGCCCGCTGCTGCTGCCAGCGCTGCTGCTCCACGGCGCTGGCGGCGCGCGCGGGCAGCGTGGCGTCCACGGTGGGGACGACCTCCCGGTGCCACCTGGGGGTCGAGTGAAGGGCTGGCAGAGAGGGAGTCCAGGAGTTTTTCAGGTTGCTTGGAGGTGAATCTGCGCCAAGTCCAGATGCCTAGGACTCTGTTGAAACTGAATCTGCGCTGAACAGGGAGCCCGTGCTACAATGTGATCATATCATGTGATATCTTGAGTCTATTTCTACTACCAGTAACAGTGGATGATCATGGTTAGTAAGGGCCTTTTAATACTTTGTTTATATATATAATTATATATATACTGACTGTTGCAGGTAATATCAAGTACTGTAATAGGACGGACCCAAGTGATATCATATGGGCGTGATTGGGTCTGCAATAGGGAGAGACCCCCAAACCAATGGTTGGATCTATTCTTCCAGGGAGCTCTCCCAATGTAAAAATACACACCCACCACTGACACCCACCTAGCACTTCCTGTCCAGGTGCGGAGTAGGAGACCTGGTCTCGGTCGGATCAGGTCCGGTCCCCCACAGCTATAGGAGGCGTCAAGACACCACGCAGCAGAGCCTTGATCATAGTTCAGCAAAATCCGCGCGAGGTACACGATGAAGTCCACAGACCATTGCTTGTCAGACTCGAAACGTTCGAAAATCTCTTCAGTCTGTGGCTCCTGAGCTTTCTCAGTCTGGGCTGCGCAGCTCAGTCTCGGTGGCAGCTCAGTCTGGGCCTTCCACGTTTGAAAGCCGCAGCCGCTCGTGCTTGTGACGCTCATGCTCCGTCTCAGTGTCTAGGCCCGACTGATTGGTGCCAGTCTGAGCACTGACTGGAGTGATCTCAAGTTTATGAGAAACATGTTGCAAAAGGAATGCAAAAAGGGAAGCTGTCTGAAGATTCTTGTCGACATGTCCAACGTATTTTGGTCAGTCTGTCTGTGATCAACAGCAGTGGTAAACACCATTCGCATGACAAAAAGGTGTTTCACATGTCACAAAGGCTGTGGGAACATACGGGAACATATCAAAGTCCTCATCAATGGGCAGCCAGGATAGTCCCAACCTTGAAACAGCAGGAAGCGCAGTCACAAGTGACTCCTCCTTAAGTGGCTATAAAGTAATTAGGCTCGATCATGCTTGATGAACCTTCAGTGCAAAGCACGGTGGCTTCAGCTCCATGGTCCATGTCTCAAAAACAAGGCTGTTGCTGGCCAGTCCTGTGAGCCACCCCCCACCCCTTCGGCCGAAAAAAACGCCACTGCCCAACGCGGATGGCGGGTGCCCCTGGAGGAGTCGGACATGGTCTTCCGCACTGGTCAGGGGTTCTGGGGTCTCACCAATCCCTATCTATACACGACGATCCCATGGGACTGCCGGAACCATAGACGATTTCCTGCCCCATGGACCGAACTCTCCGGTTTTTTTTTCCGTCTCTCGGCAGATCCCAGACATCGTGGTGGTGTCTGGGCTAGGTTTGTTGAGCAAAGGTGGGTCCTTCCAGCAGAGGTGGGTCAGAACCCGAACTAGACTATCCTATAGGTACTTCGTGGTACTTCTGGTTGGTTGAGGGTGAGTTGTCACACCTCCAAGGAACGTCTGATTCTCGGCCGAGGCCGCCGAGGGGAGCTCAGCCTGGAGCCGACGCCGAGGTCCGGCGTGGCAGGGCGCCATGGCGGGGGATCGGAGGTCTTCCTTTTGTCCTTCTAGGCTAGCTCTGGATAGGAAAGACCAGCACAAAGCACCTCTGGCAAATGACATGCTCGACTTCAGTGTATTTAGTGTTGTGGAATATGTTCTCCTTGTAGCCGATGCGGGGTCATAACCTGCAAATCCTAGAGCCATATAGAACCGAACCATACGCCTCTGCATAACAAAAACGGCCCGCCTAATGCCATTCCTTAGCCTGAAAACCTCACTTCAACGAAAGGCAACGTCTCAAAAACCGCGCATGGTTTGATATGATGGTTTCAATGCCAAGAAAATAGGAGGCTCCCTTGGCTTCAATCATCTCAAGTTTGAGTTGAACATCCAACTCCCTGATTCCTGACCCAAACACCATGGACTCCAAGCAGCTGCCGCCACCAGCGCAGCAGCCACCTCCCGCCGGGAGGCCGCGCGCAGCACAGACCGGGCACCTCCCCGCCCGCGCGGTCGGGAGCCCGTGCGGCGCGCGACGTGGGCGCTGGCGGTGAGCGCCTGGAAGAAGGGGTGCCGAGTCCCAGTCGTGAGTCCGAACATGGAAGACATGTGATGCAATGTGGTGAAACGGCTATGCACGTGAGCCGGTGAAGCATGCACCCAAATGGTCCAAATGAGGAATGGTATACAGATGCTATTATTTGGCAAATTGGGCAAGGTGTGCTAAATGAACTGCGTGCTTGTTCATCTTCAGCTCAAGGCTGATGCAATGACCCGGGTGACCCACTAGTGACCAACTTGGTTTGATGGCCATGCACCGGAAAGGCCCTGTCAAAGACCCGAAGCAGTCACCTGTGGCGGTCACATGGTGGTTGCACCACAAGCACGCGACACACAAATATGCACCGAGGAGGTTATAGGTGGGAGGTTTTTTGTTTCGAACATCAGATCATTTGATAGACGTGGTTTCACTCAGCACCCCTTAGCGGCCATTGATTTGAAGGAGACAAAGGAAGCACGCATTTACCATAAAATGACCTCCCCCAAGGTTAAATCTACTCATCAGTGAGGCTCGAAAGCATTGAATTTGGCCCTTTGAAGGAGCATGAAAGAATAACAGAAACAACAACACCGAATCATCACCCAAACCTCTGTAAAATCACACCCAACCCCAGCAAGCAAGGAAAGCATGAAACGTTTTAGAGGGGCGACGACGACCCATGGCTATCAAAAATATGACCCACTGCCACTGGTCAGAATCCTGGAAACCATAAACAGTTCTTACATCAACGACAACATGAGATTTAGTTGGAACTGTCCGACCAGGACCTGAAAGTTCACTTAATTACCAATCTTGTGACTTGGTCACGGGGAACGTCGAAGAACTCAACTTCTGCCCAAGTCACGCAAAGCGGCAACGCATAGCCGCACCCCTTCAGCCACGGCAGGGAGCCCCGTCTCTCGTTCTGCTCCCACACAGGACGGTGCGAGGGCGCAGAACGAGTACGCGTGGCCGGCGCGGCCAGCGCGGGCGGGACGAAGGGGTCCGAGTTGAAAATTTCGGACATGGCGGGCGTTTGAACCAAAATTGTCTGACAGTTGAGCGAGGATTCTCTGCTGTCGACCGCTTTGGGGGACCCACTTGTAAGCAACTGGTCGACCGTGCGGAGGGTTGTTGATGTTTTGGTGAAGGGGGATTCAACACCAAGCATTGCCAGGCATTGTGTTGTTTTGACGACCCATCATCGCAAGAGCTATCTACATCTGCATCATCTGCCCGCAAGCTAACCAAGTACAGTAGTTTCAGAGTAGATGGCACAATCCCGAAAAGGTGGTTTATATATGGACCCCCATAAAGGACATCTTTAGGTTTGTGCCAGATTCTCTCTGAGACCACTGTATTGTAATATATGTTCTGGTCACCTCTTAAACAGGAACCTCCCAACAGCGCAAGGAGTTCTCGTTCACGACCTGCTCAGGACTTGACTTCCACAGGCTCGCTGCACATGTGGAAGACCTGGAAGCGAGAAAAAAAGCGATTTTGGAGGACAAGTTTTGCCTCTGCCACGAACCCTGAATCGTCTGGGTCCTGCCCAGATTGACACATCGATCTGCCCGAAATGTATATCACTGCATATCCGTATATAGTAGTATACAGTGAATATAGTGATCTGCATTGGGATGTCAAGTCATAATGAAGCCATTGCTTGGCTGTGTCATGCTATGTCCTTAAAGTTAAAGAAACGGGCCACAACATCTATGTTGTGCTTGAAGAAACGGGCCTGGTTGGAATATTAATATATAGAGAGAGATCAGATCCCGTGTCTATCCGCAACTCAACTTCCGGAGGCTACACCAAGACTTCCCTTCTAATAAAGCATCGCCCAGAGTTCCAACACAATAGCAGCACGTTAAAGGATGTTCTCTTGAAGAACTCCTGCGCCACCTCAGAACAAACATCCCAATCTTGCGAGTTCCAGAATTCTAGTGGGAGGGTCAGGTCGATCATCTGAGGCTCTAGGGCTGTGACTTCAGGCCCTGTCGCTACCTGGGCAAGGTCCGCAAGACATGTCGGCGCCTCAAACTGACTTCACTTCACCTGACTTCACTACTTGCAGCACTGGCTGCACATTCTATCTTCACGTGCCAGAATGAGGAGACCCGACCACGGGCTCCAACCACCCCCTCAACATGTTCAGGGATCCAATCGTATACCTTCCCAGAAACGGACGGTGATGTCTTCGACACCGGCAAATAAGCCGGTGCCACCACGTCGGGTCCAGTCGTACCAGTCGGATAGATTGACGAACAAAAACACCGGCTCCGGCTCAAAACATAGACCCAAATCCACCTGAGGCGGAGTGGGAGACCCTTCGAGGCGCTTGGCCTTCGTTCCTTCCTCGTTTCGTTCCACGCGCCCATCTTCGCGACCGACCCAAATCCCTCAGGCAGACTATGGCGGACGAAGGGAATGAGGGAATGAACCACCCCTGTAGATACTTCAGGATCCATTCCCGTATTCCTTACTAAGTGCCAGTATTGGATACGTCAGGAGTTTCTCACCAATCCCTATAGGCTTTAAGGGACCTGTCGGGCGGCGAGTGAAGGGGGGTCGTTCCACCACCTGCGTCGCTCCATGTCGTCTCGTCTCACGGAGCTGGTCTCGCTGCGGGTCGGAGGAGACCTGAGGCTCGAACCACCTCGCGTTCCTCTCCTCCATAGGCCGCTGCCTCGGTGGATCGTAGTACGCCCGGCGTACGCACGCACAGGTGCGGGGGTGCAACACACACACACCAACACAAAAGGTGACATATATGTGACATATGTGTTGGGTACTGTGTTGGGTAGATTGCATGCATGATGGTTAGTAAAGGCATGTCTCAAAAATGGTGACCTAGAGGTGATACTTGACCGACTGTTACAGGTTTACTAGGACACAGCCTCTACTTGATACCGTAGGACACAACAATGCGCCCTTTTGAGATCTACTCACTGCCTCCTCAAACAAATCTCGCCCACGGATTGTTCCTAAACTGTGGGCTACAAGTCACCGTCAGGATCTAATTAGAAAACATCTGGAGAACCACATCTGGTTGGAAGGCTATGGCTATCGATACTTTTGACCTGACAAACTGTCACTGACTCAACCAGGTCCACTTGGGCCTTTCATGGCCTTTCCAACCCTAGCCATGACAGTCCCTAGAAATCCAAGTACCTTCTTAGAAGGTACTTGGATCCCTAGGTACTGATGCCAGGTGGTCCTACCATCTCTGCCATCCATGCGAAGCAACGTGCCCGGTCCTTGGAACGACTGATGTTGCTGACCTGCATGGTTCTTTTTTATCCTTTGTGCGAAGCCTGAAAGGTTTGACCCACATCTCCCCAACAGCTCGACAACTCCATATAACGTCCGTGACAAAACTAACCTCCTCCACGCTGTGCGACGTTGTTGTGGAGCTCATGGCTGGTCATCTTCAATCCCTCGCAAAGCTTCTGAAGCTCCTCCCATCGCGACCGTTCACCACACGCCACGGTCGCGACCCTTCACGACCGTCGAGAGCGAACCCGGAGAAAATCCGCCGCGGTTGCTGTGGCGGGTGACGGTGGGACTGCCCGGCAGGTCGCGGATGGTCGTCGGGATTGAAGAACGAAACTTCCAGCATCTTCCAGCGGAGGTTGAAGTAAGTAATTAGTAGGGGCTTGCAACAGCACCACAGCATTCCGCTGTGATCCTGCTCACCCGTTGTGTTTCACTCACCCAACTCCTGTGATTCACTCCAGGTGTTCCGGGTCCGAACGTTCAGGTCACTGCCTACCTCTGTTGGTTTTGGTCCACATGACGACATGAAGAAGACCCAAACACGACCACACCACAGGACTGCCGACGAGGCCGAACCCCGTGGCACCACCACCCCAAGGTAGGTCAATATATGCCACTCCGGTGGCGTCTGGGATTGGGTGGTGAAAACGAAAGGTTTAACTGTAGATGTTCCCTTAAATCCAATTCATTGATACACCCAACGGTTCACACCTTCGACTGACTAGGGCTTAGATATGAGGCTTTGATGATCGGAACGCCGGACTAGGCCTCCAGGGAAGACACCAAGGTTAACCTTTGTCCATCTGTTTTAGAGTGGGAAAACCACTCCCAACCAAACGGATTTTTTCAGGTGACTTCAACTCCCATCCTGGGTAGGTCACCAACCCCCCAAAAGCTTCACGCCCCTCTTCCCCTTCCCCCAAACCTTTTGCATCGCTCCTCATAGGCCAACTCCGGACTCCATTGGCTCGCTGCGCGCAGGCTAGGGACCTCGCGTGACGCCGAAGAAGCGCCGGTGGCGCCGGCGTGACCTCCGGGGCCCGAAATCTGTGTGGTGGCAGGGTGAGGAGCCATAGGTGGGTGATGCTGGGTCACGAAGAGGTGGCGATAGCTTTTGACAAATGCCTGCACTTGTAGGTTGGTTGGGGGGCTGTGTCTGGTGCAAGGGGAGGTGCACCCAAAAGGGATCCGACCCAAAACACTGAACATTTGCAGTGCCCCAAGGTAGGCAAACATGTATTAGTCTGGGGGATATGGGGCTGAGGCAGAAAGAGCCACCTAGATTCACCTAGCACTTGAGTGGTCACGAGGCACAACAGTAAATCCCCTTTGTGCCAAGTCTCCACGGGTGGAGTTTGAAAACGGGTACCCTAAAATTGCCTAAAGCTTCAAAATTGATTCTGAACGTTGGGTTTGAAGTTGGCATCACATGTCTGAAACTCCTTGATTGATGCCACTGATGCCACGAGTTCCCTGACTTCTCATTGAATAAAAACATTTTTGGTGGCACATCAGAACTCCCTTCGCGCCCCGATTCGCCCCAGCGTCCGCATCCGCAAAGGGATCTTCTGGCAGGTCCACGCCCAGGCGAAAGAGCATCACCTGTGACTCGACGAGAAGGAGAGTCCAGCGCCCCAAACACGAGGTCGCTCTGGAAAAAAAACCTTGAGGCCTTGAAAACCAGATCTGGGTCGGCCAAGCTGCGGGGACTTCAAAATGTCCAGGATAGCCAACGCGAGCTGTGGGGACTTCAAAATGGGCCTCTTTTCCGACGCGGAGAATCCAGATTCAAGATGAACATCCATTGGTTGGAGGACGTTGTGGAGGCTTTGGGGGGTGCTTTCAGAGACGCAGCATCATATTGATGCAGGAATTCCTATAGAAAACGACCCTGACATACCCCTAACAAGCCATGCATGAAATAATTGCCTAATATTGCCTACATTGGGTTGATTTTAGATAATTTGTTTTAAGGGTCAATGTACGTAAATATTCCATTGTGTACCAACATGTACCAACTATGAACAAACTCGAGCTTGCCAACTCAGTGAGGAGTGCTCCGCGGTAAAAACACAAACAATCATAAACAATCCACATGAGCCTCACATAGTCCCCTAATCTTCAAAAAGGGGTTGCCACCAACTGCATCCCGATGTTGATCCATGTTCTTATCATGTTTAGAATATATGGGGCGCACCGCGGCTCCTTCCTTTCTTCCACACCGGCGCACCGCTGCTCGCCACACGAGTATCGCTTGCCTCTGCCAAGAGGTGGACATAGTTGTAGCGTGGAAACCTCGGTGTGGCACGTGCTTTTGCGCCGCTGCGCGGCGCAATGGCGCAGTGTTGGCCAATCTCCAAAGCAAAAGATCAATGCTGAAAGCAACCAACATATACCCATCACCAAAGTGGCACTGATTGAGACTGGCTCAGGGGAAAAAAACAACTCGTTATCTGATGTGACTCTGGTGTGGGACATGACATGTGACCCTCCTAAAACGGCAGTTTGACCATGGCACCTCTTTGGCATCAAGTTCCCAGTTGGCTTCAGTGTGCTCAGCCGCTCCAGCTGCTTCCCCACGGGAAAGACCCGCGTCCTGCGGTGCCAAAACGAGCAAGAACTTCAAGACATTCTGTTGAGGAACAACCTCCAAGAGACCCAACGCGAGCAACATGGTTTTACAACATGGTACCTGGATGTATCTGGTATCTTCATACATCTTAGATCTTCAGAGCTCAGGTTGCTTGA